TGCAAGGAGTATTAAAATATAGATCATTTAATCATAAAATTACTATTGTTTTGCATTAATAAGTGCAGTTACTAACAATATTATGTTCATTTCTTGTTTATTATTCTTTTGTTTATTGTTTATACAGATTTGACAGTAAAGCACAGAGCTTAAGTTAAGATGCATACAAAATGTACTTTTATTAACAACAGTAACAGGTGCAAAATCAAATTTTTATATAGAAAATATATATACTCCACTCTTGTTAAATGTACCATTATTCTTCTAGTATATGGAACTGACCAACTTCAGTCATTATGTGTGATTTAGTAGCAAATTGAAGAAAAGTTTGATTTTCAAGGCACTTTGTGACTTTTCTTACTTCATACACAAAAAAGTGTAAAATTCTGATAAAATCAGATTTCTTGATGATTTGATATTTTATAAGAGTGATTTTATAATTTCAAAATATAGAGAAAAAGTAGAAATGAATGACTAATACGCCAATGCGTGCTCCTCTGCTGCCGTCTACTGGTTATAATTGTGATTTGTTGTATTTTTTTAATTTTACACAAATGTTTGTTAACCACAAAGTATATTTTGGTCATCCCATTAAAAATATAATTCAAATGGGATCATTTTAGAGCTTTAAAGTGCTGGAAATAGTTGTGTGAAATATATTTTGGTCATCCCATTAAAAATAACATTCAAACTGGATACTTTTAGAGCTTTAAAGTGCTGGAAATAGGTGTGTGAAATGCTTGAAAGCCATTGAAAAGTGCTTGAATTTCTCTCTCAAAAGGCTGTACAAACCCTGAAATGAATGCTGTAATGCATTCGACTATTTCTACCACAACACCATGGTTAAAGTTAGCATTCCTGACGTATGTCAGCGCTGTTTATAACAGAGTTAAATTTTACATAAGTGTTTGTTTACCACAAAGTATATTTTGGTCATCCCATTAAAAATAACATTCAAACTGGATCATTTTAGAGCTTTAAAGTGCTGGAAATAGTTGTGTGAAATGCTTGAAAGTCATTGAAAAGTGCTTGAATTTCTCTCTCAAAAGGTTGTACAAACCCTGAAATGAATGATGAAATGCATTCAACTATTTCTAAAACAACACCATGGTTACAGTTAGCGTTACCGCTGCTGGTTTCCTGACGTATGTCAGTGCTGTTTATAACAGAATTCTGTGCAGAATTTGAATGATTCTCACTAGATCTTGCAGCAACCTTATCATTGTGCGGCGAATTCAAATGCTTCTCACTGGATCTCGCAGCACTGTTGCATCTGTGCAGTAACAGTGTCGCGAAATTAACTTTGGCTCCCGAGTAAAGCTGTTCTGAGCTCAGACAAGTTTGTTTGCGTCGCGGTCCGAGCTGCGCAGCTGAAATGTAGTGCGGTTTAGTTTTGCTTTCGTTTCGTTTGCCATTTGATGTTTTTCAAATGCAACAGAAATGGCAGAGCTTATGAGTTGGTCAGTGCGGTGGTCGTGCCAGTGTGACCGCTCACAAAAATTAGTCGCAGCGGCAGAAAAAATGGTCACAAAATGCGAGCCCTGTATA